TCAAAATCTGACCTTCCCCTACCCCAACCAAATCCACATCCTTTCTTAATCTATTTTCTCTCTTTTAGTTTTCAGCTTTGTTTGTCATCATCGCGTGAACCAAATTTAAGGATATGCCAGCAAAAAATGATGATTTTTTAAATAAAGTAGAACCCAAAAATAAAAATAAAAAATTAATTGGGTGGTGCCTTCTGTACCACCAACAAAGGGCACAGGCCGACAAGACTTTGTCTTGGCCTGACCCTAAAAAAAAAAAAAGTGTTCGTCGCTCAGAAGCGTGTTGTCAGAGCAATGTCTGGGCTGAGGTATTGGAGAGGAAATTGTGCGCTTGATACATGTAGGCCACTGTTTGCTAAATATGGTATATTGACTGTTTACTCTCTCTATATATTAGAATATATGAAATTCCTTATAAATCATCCTGAAAAATTTAGAAAAAAAAATCAGAAATTCCAAATTGTTTGAGTCCGAAAACAAAAAGTGCACTGTGAAAATGACCAATATGTCGAGATTGAAAATCACTTGGATATATTAAACCAAAATCTTGTAGTTTTGATAGCAAGAATATTCAACTCTTTACCTGTTAGTGTAAAAATGACTGTGGAAAGTAGCGACTTTATTAGCAAAATAAGAGAAATTGTATATAAGTATCAGTATTATGACATGAACGAGTTTTTCAGTTGTAAATTTGATTTGTAAATTGTATAAATATGTGAATGACGTATTTTAAAAGTTGTCAATTCGTTGATGACTTAATGAAATAAAAATAATTCTGAATCTGAATCTTGTTGTAAAGACAAATTGGATATGTACTATATATGTCTAATGCAATAAATATTGATCTAATCTAATCTAACCTAATCCAGCTATTAAGAAGTTAATGGCTGGAGAAATAAGCTGTGCAATTCCACACCCTGGTCCAGTCCACTAGACTGGACTCAAAAAGGTTTTCGCAAGTTAACCAAGCCGGTAAAGTAAAATTATCTAAGCTTAAAACGTGGTTAAGAGATGGGTGAAAGGTTTAAAAAGAGAGAATGATTTGCAATTGAAAGAAAAACTTGGGAGTAGAATGTAAGAAATTAAAGAGACGTGTTGTTAGAAATCACAATAATCAGAGAATTGCTAGAGCAAGTAAGAAGTCCTGGAATGATGTGAATTGTAAAAGAAACAAAAGATGGCCAAATTTTGTCTTAATTGTGATGATATTAAACGTTTAAAAGATGGCGAAGAATTTTGTACATGACCAGAATTGTACAGAAACACTACCATAACTCGATAGCTTGGCCAATCTGTTTATGAAAGTGAAGAGAGATTCCAATTATGTATGTCACAGCAGATCTTTGAGATTCTGTTAGGGTTGCCAAGCAAGAAATCGTTTAACTGGGATGGAATTTCTACTGATGTTTTACATATCTAGTATATTCCAGACTAGATATTTTGGGTTGGCAACCATGGCTTTAATTCAAATACCGGTTGCCAATACCGGTACTGCAGCTGGATTTGAACCGAGGTCTACCGATTGCTGTGACGAACACAAATAACTTTTATTTTTGCTTGCCCTTCCATCCATGTTCCTTTCCCGCTTTAATTTGTATGTATCTCTTTTGCTCTGTGTGATTCAATTGTTTTGTATTCTTTTCTGATGTGACCAAAATAAATGATAGTCTCTTCCCAGCCCGGCAAGGCAACACTGCGTGTTTTAATTTCTCCGACACCTAGGTTAGGGCGTGAGGGTTAACCGGCAGGGTAGGCAGGGTCGTAAAGGGGAGTAAGGCTCGGGCAGCGGCTTTGGTAACTCGAAGCCCCCCGGAGAATCAAATAAAGAATAATTATTTGAGAATAAAATTGATGAGCACCACTATGGCGGCCCGGGAATAAGGCGCCGTATTGTTGGAGTTCAAATTGTCAAACCAAAAGTCTTTGCCGAGCGCATCAAAGCTCTTTACATCAGCCCCCAAAGGGGTGAGATGGGCCGTAGACACGTTTGACGCGCGCCGTAGGGGACCCTAGACCCCAGACGGACGTCGCATTGCAAAGCCACGACTATACCGGTAGGCCAAACACCACATGTTGAAACAAACACGAGAAAAGTTTAATAAATATTACCGAAACTTAAAAATCAATAGCACTACACTAAAAGACATTTAAAACACACACAAAAACAATAAATAAAGACAAAAAAATATAAATACACATGCTGAAGTAAATCAAAGAAAAGTGGAATAAACCGAAAATTAGAAAACAAATGCAATAGGACTAAATTAAAAAAAACACACACACAAAAACGATAAATAAAGATAGCAAAAAATATTTATGTATGCAGCGCACCCTGCACCACAAAAAAAGAAAGTAAAAAAAAAAAACAGTATATTATTGCAAAACGCATTTACGCGAAATTAAAAAAAGAAAACAACAAAAAACAAAAAAATTGCGTAATTATTGGAACCACTTAATTTCCACCACCATCTGAGCGCAAAAAAAATAATTAAAAACTGTCTGTGCAATGCATAAAAGACCAAGGCACCACCAGAAAAAAAACAGCAACAAATAAACACAAAACCACAACCTTAGGCAATGCATAAAAGAACACTAAACCTAAAATGCAGTACTCACCAACAGAAAAAAACGCAAAAAAGGCACCAATACACAATAAAACCAGATAAAAACACTTCTTGATGCAGCAAAAAAACACTGACACGAGCACCAAAATTGAACAAAATGAAGCCGAGCAGCTGAAACAAACACACCCACTATCTGCACTATCACCATATTTAACCAAATATTTCCATATAAACGAAATTAATTGCAAATACTTTACTATTTAACGCAAGAAAATCATAAAAAACACACCGATACACACAATTAAAACACATTTTGAAGAAGCACAAATCATAAAAACACTATAACATAACAATTTAAGTGTAAGGAAGCAGGCAACCAGCTGCAGAAAAAACGCCCACCAACAGCCATAATGATAAGAAAAACCGCCCAAATAAACCGGTAAAAATCGGTGAAACCGGACAGTGTGTATGCAGTAGTGCCAACCCAAAAATCTTAGTCTGGAATATACTAGATATATACCAAAATTCTGCCTATATCGTAGTCCCGCTGACGTACTTGGTGAATTGTTCATTTTGTGAAGGACTTTTTCCCAGAGTTGATGAAAATATCAGAAATTATGGCCATTACACACGAAAGGTTGTTGGATGCGGCTAATTATAGAGCAATATTTGTCGGTCCAATAGCACGGATTTAGAAAAAAGCGTTCGACAGTTACGGCCCTATTCAGATTCAGATAATATTTATTCCGTATGGATCAACATATGTACAGAAATAATCTTTGGAATAGGTCACTGTAATACAGCTATATCTCAATATAACTATAATACAGCTTACTAAATTTAAAATACATTTAAAATACAGTTCACACAATTTTACACAAAAAATATTCATGCACGTCATAGAACATTTTGTCGTAGAATATTAATTCCAATTCCTTCTTAAACACTTGATAACTATCAATGCTTTTGATTCTATCGGGAAGATGATTGAAAATTCTAGGGATCATGATGTGAGGGGACTGCGCAGTCAGCAACAGTCTGTTTAGTTTGACAAATAAGTCTTGCTCCGCTACAGGTTTATTTCGAGTACTGCGATTCTGGTGCACCTTGCTTTCAGAATTTTTGAGGAACAATTCAGGATACTTTTTGTAAAATTTAACACATTCAAAGGCGTACACAGAGAAAGCTGGCAGGATCTGAAATTCTTCAAAAAGTGGTCGGCAAGACTCGACAGGTGTCAATGCCTTCCAGTATCTTTTACCTGCCATCGCACGGATAACTCTCTTTTGAGCAATGAAAACCTTTTGCAACATAGGCGACCCACCCCAAATTACAATTGAGTATAGTAAGTGACTTTGAACATGGGCGAAATATACATCTCTTAGCAATTTAGTTTGAATGCGCTGCCTTAATTTAACAAAAAGGTACGTGGTACTTCTCAGTTTCGCTACAACCTGATCGCATTGGGTGCTCCAGTTCATTGTATCAGAGAGCATTACACCAAGTATTTTTGCTTGATTTACCACTTCTTATTTGATATGGATACAAACGCATGTGACTTTTTGGCCAAGAGAGAGAAGATTAATGCAGTTAATTTTTTTAAGTGTGAGTTTTATATTGCAAATGGGGCGCGTTGCAATGAGTAATTACATCGTGGTGACGCTTCATAAGTCAATAAAGATCAATAATAATAATAGTGTGTGTGTGTGTGTTTTTTTTTAATGTTTTTTCTCTTGCAGAGTCGTGTCGTGTTTGTGTTGTTAAGTGTATTCCAGTTTCCGATTTAATTTTTCAAAAAAATCTTAACGTGGATTCAGAAACTGAGCGAGAAAACCGATGCTGTTTCTGTATCCACGTTCAGAGATTTCTTTTTAAAGATTTATTTAATTTTGTACGATTTTACGAACGCATTTTAGGATCATTAGTACCAGACAGATTGTTAAACAAACTGCAAAAGTGTTAATGGTAAAGCCCTTGACTGGATTAAGTCATTTTTGCTGGAAAGAAAACAGCTGGTCAAGTCAAAGACGAAGGTCATACAAATTCACACCGCTCAGACAAAGAAGTTGGAAAAACCTTCTGTTCAACTAAACAACACAGAAGTCAAAGCGGTGAATGAGAGCAATTAAATTACTGAGTGGTACTATATATGTCTAATGCAAATAATTTGATCTAATCTAACGTCTTCTCTCTCTCTCTCTCCCTCCCCCTCTCTCTCACTCTGAATGAGAACCAATTTGTAGCTTAAAAATCGGTTGGCCACGTTTCAAATCCAGCTGCGGGCTCCAACTTTGGCAATCAGTAATTCTAAGAATTAGTCCTGACAACCTATACTACGCAGTCTGGAATATACTAAATACATATGTTCCGAGCTGAAAATTTCAAAACTTAAAATATATGGGCTTATACGTTTTTTTTTTTACAAAAATAATTGCCTACCTTCAAAATTTTTATCTCCTTGCCGAGCAGGTTCTGCGATTTAGCCAAATTCTTCTTGGTAATCCTTTTAATTGCCACTACACACGGTGCACCCTGAAAGAGAAAAAAAAAGGAATAATTAAAATATTTTTGATACCTTTATTCATAAATCAACCATGATTATATTATACTTATATTTGTATTTGTGTCTGTACATAAATTTTACTCCGAATTTGAGTTTCTTGATTATTTAAAGAATTTGTAAATATGTTTCTTTCTTTCGATCTTTCTATTTTTCATTTGACCCACTTGTAAATAAGTGGATTACAACGGAGATATAATATGTAATATCACTTATGACACAATAAAAGAGAAGGATTCAATTCAATTCAATTCAATATAATTTTATTTTGGTATAAGCTAACGTACACAATGTATACAGCTTTTACAAAACATGTCAATAAAGGATATATTCTAGTCTGATTCTAAAGTAATCATAGTTTTTAAAGCAAAAAATTCACTCATGTCATAAAACTGGTTTTCCATCACGTAATCTTTCACATTTTTCAATAGTTCTTCATCAGATTTACATCTTTTTATATTAATAGGCAGCGCATTAAAAACTCTAGGTACCATAACAGCAGGACTTTCTACAGTTATTTGGAGTCTACACCTATTTTCAACGAGATCATTCTCACTCACATTAGACTGATTGCCACGCGTAACTTTCCTGCTGTCCACTACTCCAGGGTCACTATACCTTTGAAACATTCTGCGATTTCTAACAAGGAACTTAATACACTCGAGGATATAAAGGGAGTAGTATCTTTGTCTTTGGAATAAATAAATAAATTTATTCGTAGGGCTGAGCGTTTTAGTCGATCAACCATCTTTTACTGATCTTCGCAGGATATCAGGGTTAAGAAATGAGCACGAATCATGCAATTTTGAGTTGATTAAGCTAGGGTCAAAATCGACTTAATTGACAAAAATCGGCTATTTAGTTACTCAAGAAGCATAAAAATCCATCCAGAAAAAATATAAATATATGGCGTGCCCTGGGCCCCAAAGGACCCTCTGGTCGAAGTTTCAATGATTTTTTTTTTAATTTACGTTTAACGTTATGAAAATGATTGCAAGAGCAGCGAGAATCTTTCAATTTTTTGTCATAAAAAGAAATGTCATTTATATGTACTTTGGCCAAAAGGCCCCCTGGAATTTCCAACCAATCCAGCCATAATCTACGCCTCTGATCTCATATTATGTAAAAATTAAAACAAGGTTAATTTTTTTTTATTAATTGATATGTAGTTAAATAAGAAAAAACGCGTCTGAAGACGGTCGAAAATCATAGAATCAACAGAATAAAAAAAAATTCACGTCAGCAATGTTCAATTGTATCTAAAATATGCAAGTAAGGCTAAAGCAACATACACCCCCGGTCCGAAGTGTGTTTGGCCAGCGCGCTTTTTCCTTCAGGGTCGTCAAGCCCTGGAATGACCTGCCACCGACCCTCAAAGACTGCCCAACCAGCAATTTTCCCTCCCTTTGCAAGCATCATTTGTGGCAGCAATTTTAAAGTGTCGTGATTGTTCTTTTTTTTCGATAGTATGGGTTCACGCGGTGGCCGATTCGTGCTCTTTTTTATATCGGGCGTTTTAGCAGACCTCTGCTAGTTGTGATACCCTTTCTGCTCATTTTTTTTCAATTTAATTTTTTTCATGTATGACTTGAGTAGAATAAACAACAATAACGCACCTGCTTGCAAAATATACATTAGCGATTTCAAATCCACTTCTCGCATTACTTTTTTACACTCTTTTTTTCAAGATTTAGAAGTAATCCGAAAATTTTTATTAATGAAAATTCCATATTTTAATCCAAATTATGTATGTATTCCTTTTTTTTTGTAATTTCACCCACAAGCATGCAGACGGAGTTGTAGGCACCCCACGATCCGGCAACTCGGAGTTGGGCAACCCCCAAGATTAATTGCCAATGCGCAGAATAAAACTGTTGCGGCTTGGTCTATTTTGAACCGTACTTTAGGCAATGATAAGTCGCGTGATAAAATTAAAGAGATGCGAGTAGGTGGGGAAATAACTTCTGATGTGGGGAAAATAGCCAGTGCGATGAATTCAACATATTTTATAGTGCCTGAGGCTGATTTGTGCGATTACGAGTTTCGTACGCCGGCTGCTGAGAAAAATTTATTTTTAACCCCCGTTGGGATGCAAGAGGTGATTTTAATATTGCGTGGACTCGCGGCAAAGAAATCAGCAGGTTTCGATGAGATTCCAATGTTTTTGGCTAAGCGAGTGGCATCGAGTGTTGCTGCGCCGCTGGCTGATATTAGATTAGATGAGATCAAAATTTATTGCATTAGACATATATAGTACATCTTCAATTTGCCTTTACGACAGGTCATTATAATAATAATAATTAGGTTTCATCAATCAACTAATGCAACATCAAGTGATTGAGGGAGCTCGCACGCCATTATTCGGCGGGGGTGGGCAAGCCTTTGACCAACCCTCCTCAAAAACTGCAGGGGAAAACCACCCCCGAAAACCCTGCAGCTGAGTCTCACTCTTCCAAGTTTAAGCATTCAAATTTACATCTCCAATATTCATTCATATCATAGAATTGACACTTCAGCATTACATATTTGACACTTTTGACAAAGTTGCCATAGTCAGCTATTTCTTTCAATACATTGGGTAATTTGTTGTATACTCGTGCTATCATTATCTCAGGACTTTCATTCACACAATTTAGTGAGCTTGGCCTTACAAATAAATCTGTTTCAACATATGCAGTAGCACGCGTAGTTCGCACTACAACACCTGGAACATCACGATTCATTTTAAACTTTTCAGGAAATTTACGCACAAACTTAACACTCCAAAATATATAATGAATAGACTGTAAGAACTCCAAATTTCACAAATAGTGGCCTACATGAGTCAAGTGCCGAATTACTTCTCCAATATTGAACGCCAGCCATCGCTCTTATTACTCTTTCCTGGGCAAGAAAAACATCTTTCATATATGTAGAGCCACCCCAGATTACAAGCGAGTACAGTATTCGGCTAGCCGCATATGCATGATAGGCTTGGACCAAAGTCGATTCTAAAACTTTGTCTCGTAACATGATAAATAAATACGTAACACTACGCAATTTGGCAACCACTTCGCTACACTGTTTATTCCAACTCATTGTATCTGTTATCGTAACTCCTAGAAGGCGACTACTGTTCACCACAGACAATTCCTTATTCTCGATCAATATTTCAGGCTGTATTATTTTCCTCGCTTGAGCGGTGTGCATTGTCATTACCATAGTCTTATTCGGATTCAATTTCAGGTGATTATCACTCGCATATTTCACCATGTCAGAGTTTGCTTGTATTGTCTTTTCATTCACCTCAGAGGCAGTTTTACCTTTCACTATCATTGTAGAGTCATCGGCAAAAATAACTAATATTGCAATTATAACAATTAAGGGCAGGTCAATCGAATATGCGCTGTAAGTAAAGGGACCAAGAGATGTACCTTGTGGCACACCTCTGTTTCTCTCACGCAACTTAGATTTAATTATTTCTTCTACACACTTATCATTCAGAACTCTCAGTTTAACTAGCTGCTTTCGCTCTAGTAAAATCGACTTGATCCAGTCTAACGCTTTGCCATTGACACCAAACATTTTTAATTTATTCAACAATCTATCAGGTACTAACGATCCAAACGCGTTTGTAAAATCATACAAAATAACATTAATCTTTTCTCTTTTGTCTAATGAGTCGTACACGTTTGTCACCATATCATAAAGCGCAGTAACCGTAGAACGCTTTTTCCTAAAGCCATGCTGCTGGTCAGGCAAAAAATTATTCCCTTCATAATATTTCTCCAGCTGAATTAAAAACGCTTTTTCAAAAACTTTTGCGATACTTGACGTAAGGGCGATTGGTCTATAATTAGCTGCATCTGTATTACTGCCTTTCTTAAACAGAGGCCTTATTTCTGATATCTTCATCAAGTCTGGAAATACTCCTTCACAGAAGGAACAATTAACAAGGTATGTTAGTGGAACTACAATATAAGCAGAAATTTTTTCAACACTTCTGTGGAAATTCCATCCCAGCCAAACGATCTCTTAGTTGGCAACCCGCACAAAATTTCAAAAATCTGCTCTTCACTCAACATACAAAGTTGAAATTTCTCTACTGTGTGTTCAACAATTTGGCCAAGCTCACTGTTAAGTTCCGGCACACATTCTATAAAATTATCATTTAATATTTCACTTATTTTATGTGGGTCAGAAATTAATTCCTCCCCGTCTCTTAGGCACTTTATAATATCACAAGAAGATGTTTGACTTTCTTTGATTTCCTTAACTATTCTCCACATCATGCCAGATTTATTACTCGCTTTCAAAATCCTCTCATTATTATGATTTCTAATTTCTTTGTTAATACAAGTTCCAACCTGTCGTTTTGAGCTCTTAAATTCTATTCTAAGTTTGTCTTTTACTTTTACATTGGTTTCCCTTTTCATCCGCTCACCAAGTTCTCTTAATTGCGTTTTAAGCTCCCTAGTAGGTTGAGATAATTTGATTTTGCCAGCCTGGTTAGCTCTATTAATAACTTTTCTCATCAGGAAACAATTTTCAAAATACGAAGAAAGTCCCTCCATAAAGATACTACTTTAAGGTTAACATCGCCCTCAACGAAGAGTACATCTTCCCATGTTTCATTACTAAGCAATTCATAAAAATTACTCCAATTTTCTTCTGAAAAATGTCTGCTTAATTTAAACGTATCCTGTTTTTGTATTAAATTTAAATCCCATAAACAAAACACTGCATCATGGTCTGAAAAGGGGCAATTCAAAACTTTGCTCTGACCTTCACAATCTAGTGTAGAAAACATAACATCTAGCAAAGTAGCGGATTCGCCATCTACCCTTGTAACTTGATTATTTACTTGCTTCAAGTTATAGCCTCCTGTGAGTTCTCTCAACTTATTTGAATTTCCATCAGTTTTCATTAAATCTACATTGAAATCTCCCATTAATAGCATATGACCCTCGAGTGAAACGTTTTCTTCCAAAAC